CGGGAATTGTAGTCCAAAGTATCTGAAGGGCCCCAGGTTGGGGAAGGCTACTCTAACCATTGGACCATGCTGGCATATTCTTGCACACTAACTATAGTATAGCAATTGTTTAGAAGTCAGAGTTTTAAGGAGCCGCCCACCAATGCATGAGAAATTTAGGATCCAGATGCTGGTGGGAGGCTCAAAAGGCATTTGGAAGTAGTAGAGGTACACTGTCAGGTTGTACAAATCCCTGTGAGTTTACTCAAAGGCAAACCACTGTGTTGCTACCTTGTGTGTATAGCAGTTAGGCAACATGGTACTCTTTGTGTGGCTTGGACAAGAATTACTATCATCCAGTCAACATGCCCAATATTTGGGAATAATGAGAATTGCAGTCCATAACATCTGAAGGATACTGGGTTGCCTCCTGGTGGTGTAGAATTGTGCCCTGAGTACAATTCCAGTTTTTGTTCATATGCACCTGTTGGGGTGCATATACAGCAAAATACAACAGTGAGCAGCAACCTGTTTATAGTTTGCCTGTATTTTCATTCATGGAACTATCATCAGATGTGTTCAAAGCAACCTTTTTTGAGCCTGCCTGCTAGGATCCTAACATATTTACACTTTCTCCCCTTGTCCAGCATCTTGTTCCATTCAGCCTTCCCCAGTTTGTACCTTGCAGATGCCTTGACCAGCACCTCCCACAGCATTTCTGACTGGGGATGATGGGGCATTATTTTGAGGTGCATTAGTATCTATATTCTTTATGCTATGGTGTCTCCACTACCCCAGATCTTATTTAAGTGCCCCTCTGAATTGGACAGCGGGGCCTGGGAGTGCAGAAGCAACTCTCCTACTTCCTGGAATGAGAATACTGGTGTGGTCCAAAGAGTGAACCTGCACAATGACGACATTTATCCCTAAGAGGCTTTTTGCTATATTTAAGGCTTGCGGGTAGTAAAGTCTACTGGATAAAGTGAGGCTTTGGATTAGATGCTCCCCAGGAGAGCATATTGCTGAACAAGTAAGAGAAAAAGAATGGTGTGGCAGGGAAAATGAGAGAAGCAAGCAGACCACATGCTTTGGAAATGGTAGGAGCTGGGCCATTTATGGGGGAAATGCCTCTCCAAATGGTACCATGCATGTAGCACATATGTTCCGTGTTTCTGTTCTTACTGTTACCCACTGGATGAGATAAACAGTAACATTCTGCAAAATAAAAGAAATACTACTATTACACTGCATTTATATCTCACCATTTTTCCTTTTCTGAGGAATCCAAGGCTGCTTGCATACCTCCATTTTACCCACAGCAACAACCCTGTGAGGTAGGCTAGGCTCAACTTCATGGTGAGTTTCGTGGCTGAATAGGGACTAGAATGCAGATCTCCCAGGTCCTCAGCCCCAAGCCTCTCACCACCAACCACAGTCCCCATCTGTTGTCAGAGAGAGAGAGAGGAAGAAGCAGGTTGCAGTGATGCAAAAGAGGAGCAAATCTAGGGCACTTTTGTCAGTGGGTTCCTGCACATGAAGATAATACCTCAGTGGTTCATAAGCCTGATGTGCAGAAGAGTTCGACATCCCTGCTTTGGTCTTGAGGGATCTCTGGCAGCAAGGCTGGGGAGACATTTCCCAGTTAGAGTAGAGAATACAGGTTTGGTGGACCAATGGCCTGATGTAGAGCATTAGATATATTCACTTCCAGGCAGGAATTATATAGGACAGCCTTCCCCTCCACTTGCTAGGCATTCTGGGAGTTAAAGACCAATATACCTGGAGGCCCTATGGCTGGGGAAGAGAGAATTATAGGGACTGTGGGTATAATTTAAGCATGACTTCCTGCACATGAGCATTCAGTGCACATGCCTTCCTCACCGATGGCAGGCCTTTGAGGCCTGAAAGTTATTGTTTCTTCTGTTAGTCCTAGGAATTTCTGAGGCCCAGTGTGTGTTTCTGTGTCCATAAGCAGAAGAAATATGACCTTAGCTGGTTCTTTCATCTCCTGTGAATCCCTCTAGTTGTAGAAAATTTGGTGCTGGAAGCAAATTGAATTCAGCTCTCTAAGAATATTGCCATTTTTTAAAAGCACTTTGCTTTGATGCTGTGTATTTTAAGGTGCTGGAAATGACAGCCCAGCTGCTGTGACCTGGTTGAGAATACTCCCTGTGTGGGAAAAGCCTGCCTTACTCAATAAGTGTCATCACGGTAGTTAAGAACATTCAGTTGCATGTGCCTCTTTAGTTCGAAGCATTTTCCTGCCAAACCAGATGCTTTGCTGCTAAAGGCCTGTGTGAAATCACCTTTTTACTGTGACTTCTTTGGCTCCACATGAGGGATGCTGGCAGTGGTGCCCTGGCATGAAAGGAAATTTTGCCTGCCTCCAAACAATCAGAGCAGTTGGAAAATTGAGTACCCCCTGTGATTTCTTGCATCCCATCCACTGGCATCAGCAGCACAAGCTACAAATGATCATGAGCTCTGCAGGAACACTGAGACTCCCATTGGGCCTGCCATCGGGCAACCCCAATTTTAGAGAGGCAGAGATGCTCAGAAGCACAAATCCTGAAAAAAATCCATCTGACCCTTTTTTGTAGGGCTTCAGGAAAATTCTGAACCATGCTTCTTTCTTTCCCCAGTTTTCCATTACATTCAAGGCCATTGACTTCAGTGTTCAGTGTTTAATTAATTCAGTTGAAAATCTCTGTTTTGTGGAATGGATCGAAACATGTTTTATAGTGTTTTTTTTAAAGTATTCACTTTGCATATCCACATGAAGGTGGCCTAGAAATAGATGGAGCATGAAGAAATCTCCCCACCTCAAATGTCTGAAAGGCAAGGCTATTGATCTCTTGCCATGCCTTTGCTGACCCAAAGACTACAAGTTCCATTATGTCTGACCATAAGCCATCCTGGCTGAGACTGGTGGGAGTTGTGCTCCAGCACATCTGGAGGGCAGGGCCAGCTTGGGCAAGCTGTTCTGACCAATGGCTGTGAATGCTTTGCCTGAGTTGGGAGGTACGTGCTGTGCTCTGGTGCTGTCTTGCATCTGGAGGCAGGCCAGGACTTGACCAAGAGGTGGGGTGGCCCAGAGGGAGGTGTGTCTGTAGGGACGGGCACCAGCCAACAGTGAGTTCCAAGTGGGGAAGTTACTCCCTGGAATGTGCCCCCTCTTCATCTCATCCCACAATGCTCAACTGTATTGTGCAGCAGTCAGGCCAGTCCAGCCAAGAGGTTTGTTTGTGCCAGATCTGAACCAACGAGATCATACACAGCTGGGCAGCCTCCTCAGAGTTCCTTGTTTTCGCTCTGGAGCTAAGGACTGGAGACCAGCAGAGAAGGCCAGGCTATGCCAGACACATTTGTGTTTTCCTGGGAAAAGGCTGACCACACCTCAGCTTGAAAATGGCCCAAGTCCAGGGATGGGTAACTTGAGTCTTCTGGATGTTGTTGATTTACAGATCCCATCAGCCATTCCATTGGCTTTGTTGGCCACTGTTGGTCATACTCCACTAAGATTTGGAGAACCACAAACTTCCCACTTCTTTGAACTGAGAACGTTGGATGTCAGGGCTGCAGGCAAACTTCATCCTGCCTGGAGTCCCAGTGGAGCCCTTGAGAGAAGGGCCACCCTGTTCCCCTGGCCCCACCCCCTTTTCCCCAACTGCCAATCATTTTGTGGATTTCTGGCTTTTGCATGCTTTCCCCCCTTTCTAAGAAATTGAAATGCCTCACCTAACGTGTAATTATTGGCAGTGAGAATTTTACACTAAATCACACTGGTAAAATCATCTAGCTTCTTTTGGTAGCGTCAAAATACTGGCTTTCTTGAATGATGCTTCC